CCCCTCGGACCTGTTGAGATAGACATATCAAGTCTGTGGATGGATTTGTTTTCTTTAGACTCAGTTATTTTGATTATTAAGTGACCTGCAATTGTTTGCCAATTTCATATTCGAGGTCGATTTTTCGGAGACATATCTCATGACAAGTGCTGAAAACAGCGTTTCGGAGCCTCCAAATTGAAAATTTTCTGGGGGAGGACACCCCCAGAACCCCCTACAAGGTTCGTGCCTTCGGAACTCGGGATAATGTGCCCCGTTACAAAAAACCTAGCTACGGCCCTGTTGATGTTTAAATCCGATCAGAGCAGGGTAAAATTTAAATTAGGTCGTAAACGCCTTTTCGTGGAGTAAGATCGTATCTTGACATTTTTCTTTACGTAAAACCTCTTAACGGTAAATTTTACATCTTTAATAAATTTGTTTCCCTAGCTCCTGATAAAATTAGCTTCTTATATATGTTGCTGACCGCTTCCAGTTTTCGTTAAGCCCATAGTCATCTGTTTTTCGAGTTTAACGCTTGGCTTCTTAAGCCACTAATGAGTAAATACGATTAAATTACTTCGAATTTCATGCATTTTAATGACACTTGCAACAAAAACCAAACCCTCAAAAAATTTTATTACCTCTTCTCCGCCCCTACCCTCTCCTCCCCGCTCACTTTTCCATTGAAAGCGATAATTTTGAGTTCACCACGCGCGAGGCCCAAACCAGAAACGCCTTCCAGAACAAAGTGGCTTGCGCACACTCAGTGAAAAGATATACGATGATATGATCTGCTGGACAAAAAGGGCAGCGTGGGGAGTCTTCATTCTTCATTTTAAATAATAAGCTCTTAGTGCACAGAATATTGTGAATAATTTTGTACTGGAACATTTTTATCAGCTAAGGTTTTGTTGACAGAGACATTTAGATTGGTTAAACAGGACCATTACTCCTTTACTGTGAGTTGTACCGTGGCTAGCTACAACTTTCCGACCCCACTCGGCCTCCCATCGTTTTATAGTTTCCGTTAAAGAATAAGTTTCTTGGAGGAAAATAATGTCCGATCGTTGCTAGTGCAACCATCGAAAAACATGTCGTCTTTTTCTAGAACTGTTTAGCGCTCTTACATTCAGTGTCAATAGGTTAAGTGACATATTTATTGCTCAATTATAAAATGAAATAGTTTCTCTTTCACGTGTGGCACAATCCATAGACAAAAGTATAAATTTATATGGCCTGGATCGCTTTCCCCTTAAGGGAAGGGAAGCAAAATTGACTGCGCAAATATTAAGAGGAAACAAAAAAGAAAACAAAAACACGAAACATACGAACAAAAACTCCATGACTTACCTCTGAATTTGAGCGGCGTTGACTGACTGCGCATCGAGCTAATTTGGTTTGTAAAAGCTACTACTGCACTCAATACTACTACACACTACTGGCCCCTAAAATATGGCCGTGAATAATAACATAAATGTTCTGAGCTAATTTATACGTCCATTAAATGTCCGTAGAGAGGGAAAGCAATTGTCTCTGGGATGCGGTAAAGCGACCCATCCATAATTAGCCTTTCTACCTTGAAAAACGCAGTACGCTTTTCTTGCTTGGCGGCTTTTAATACTGGGTACAGCTTTTTCCTCATTTCTTCTACTTTCTTTGGAAAGTCGTCGGATATTCCAAGATCGCGGCCTTTAGTAAGGTTTTTGATGAATGATTTAATAAAATCTTTGTCGTGGAAACTGGAAAGCTTGACAATAATCGGGCGTGGCCGGCTTGGAATTCGTAGTGCCAGAATATACTCGACGAGCTGATACCCTGTGCACTCTATCGAACTGAATACTTTCCTCGTCCTTTTTAGGGATCTTTAAGTCGGTACGTAAAAATTTCCTCAATAAGTCTTCTGTGTCTTCGTTCGATTCATGCTCGCGTTCTTTTATTCCATAGAATTTCAAATTACCTCTGCGGCTGTGACACTCTTAATTTTATATGACGGCGCTGCAATTCGGCGAGTTCACGTTGGACGCGTTGAAGTGAAGCTTCAGTGGTCTTCTGTTGTTCAGCAATGTTATCTAACTTCCGAGGCTTTCTTGCATGCTTTTCTGTTCATCTTCGAGAGATTTAACTCGGCTCTTGTAGGTTTCAAATTCGTCTTTTAACTTTAATAGTCTTTCAAGCTTCTCATCAATTTCAGCGAGACGAGTATTTGTTGACTTGTATTTTGGGCAGTCCATGGCTGTCGTCCTCGAAGACATCCTCGTCTGTTTGTGAGCTTCCTTCGCGTGTACACTTCATTTTTCTTTCTTTGAGAGCTTCGCAGGATATTTTTGGTTTATTTTTAGGCATTACTGAATTATTATTTTGTGAGAAATGGCCATATTCGAGACCAAGGCGGGGCAGTTTTAACAGAGCGATTGAAACACGTCCGTCATGGTCGGCTTCGACACCAGTCTTATGAACGGCGGTTAAGGAAATCTACAGACTTGGACATTTAGCAATACTAGTTGTAGAATGTTCTTAAATTTATCGTTTTACTATTTTGTCTATTTATTTATATATACTTTTATTATTATTATTATTATTATTATTATAATTATTATAGGGTCACGTTCGACGTCCCTGGTAGTTGTTGCTATATAACACCCATACTGTCATAAAGTGGAAGGTGCACTTAGCTAGTCAGCTAATTTACAGGCACTCCACTCAAATATTTAGAAACAAATAATTCAAATACAACATAACAGGATTAAAAACCCCAACTGGCGGAAGGCAACCAGTTGGCTATTTAATGATAATAATAATAATAATAATAATAATAATAATAATAATAATAATAATAATAATAATACTAATAATTAAAAACTTAAGATAAAGTAGAATAAATAAGAAAATGTGAAAAAGAAAATTGAAACGGGAGGATTCTGTGTCAAAATTTATGTACGGATTTGTCATTGATTTGTCCTGCCTTTTTTTTTGACATAAAGGTAGAACGATGAGTCAGGTAAAATCATTAACAACTAAACATACAACTCATTTCCAAATATGCACAAGGCAAGCGGAGGAATAAACCTATGTCCAATACTATTATACATTGCTTGTATCCTCACAAGTTGCTGTTTGGTACAATACGCCTGTCTCTGCAACATAGGCAAGGTCCACAAGTAAAACAGGCGAACAGGTTTCGCAAAGCACTCGAGAATCGTGAACTATACGCAAAAAGAATTATGGGATTAACTATTGTGCTTAAGGAGGGAAAAATGTAGAAAAACAAACTAACAAAAATCATGCACGAATCTTTAGTAAGACGCGAAGATGTAAATAGCTTTTGGAGTACAATATGTACGCAAAGCGGAGTCCAGCAGATGAAAAAGGCACTCACAATCCAGACAAACACTTTCATGACAGTTTTGTTCTGTTGCATGTTTCTCATTCGTATTCTTGTATGTTCCTCTTCTTCAGCCTCTACTGGTCTTGTATGTCTCAAGCATTTCATGATTCTTGAATGGAGGATAATCGTGGAAATAAGTGGAACACAGTAGAATACTGCAAATCCTACCACGTAAAAGATAAATTGCTTCTTCTTGCCCCAAGAAGCGAAACTCCGACAATACGTTTGATAATTTTCTTGAATAATTTGAATAGACGATGCATATGGTGAAGCTATTGATAACGCAAACACCCAAGTGAATAACTGGAGAGCAGTTCTGAGTCGAGCTGTGACTAAAATAGACTTAAACGGGAGCACGATAGCTATGTATCTGTCTACAACGATTAGTAACAGGCTTTGAACTGAGACAGCCTGAGACACAGCTCTGAAAAAAAGGCCCAGTTTACAAATAAAGATAGCCGTTGAGCCGTCTATCGCAGGTTTGCTGTATTGGACTCCTTCAGTTGCATAGAGGGGCCAATTTGTGGAGGATGACAGAAGATCAGAAATTGCCATGTTGACGATGAAATAGTTCGTGCTTGTCTTTAGGGTGGGGCTGAGTAGAAAAGTTAGTATCACCAGGGTGTTGCCGACGAATGCCACAATACTAACAATTGAAATAGTGGATGTAAGTATGGTGGAATCTAAGGAAGAACATTCCGAAAGGTGCTCAAAACCATAAGAACTGGAGTTGTTCATGCTTCCTTTCTGGTTTATTACCGTCTTCTGGCTACTGGTCGGGTGACTGCCCTCTTTAGTTTGTATGAAAGGATCGACCTGTAAAACGAAGAAGGTGCTTGATGAGCTTTTGAATCTTCTAATCACCTTGAGTTTCAAACGTCCTTCAACCGGATGACAGAAGCATTTGATTTAACAAGGAAAAAAAAGTAGAAACTCTTGATACCTGATACTTGGAGGGATTGAACTACTGGATTTATAGGGCTTCTGTCATAATGCACAAAACCGCGCTGAAATAATGTACAGTATGTTGCCCAGTATCCGGAGGGTACCAGTATCCGGACACTTAAAACAAAAACTCAATTTTTCAGGCGCCCTTTTCACTTATCGGTAAACGAAGTATTTCGAATGAAAGCTAAAAATTTCAGCTTTAAGATGAAGGTTTTGGCGAGTTGAAAGCTTGCGAAACAGTCGCAGAAGACGCGGTTCTGTTCAGGTGAATAAACATTTCATGGCTAATATTTACCCTGCTTACTGCGCAGTAAACTTAGTGCTGCTGTGAAAAGGGCAGGTAATAAGTGATATTTTCAAAGAAACGGTTTTATATTTAAAGTGAAGATACTTAAAGAAGTCAGGTTCTTAGAAAGTTTATTAATTCTTCTTGAAATTCGATTTGTTTGGAATAAGGGAGCCCAGAAACATTCACTAAGTATTGATGTCAGGTGCCCAGTATCCGGACAGTTTTTTCTTTGCTGTACAAAATCGATGAATTAGCTTTGTACATTATCCGGATAAGATTTATTTCATATCTATAACTATAATTAAAGCTTAGAATATATGATAAAGTCGTAAAAAGTAATTCTACTCAACTCCGTACGGAAATTTTCTTCACTCATTCGGAGGCGACTTGATTTCGTGTGCGCCTCTTGTTTCGTGCGACTGGATTTTCTATATTTTACCGAAAGCGTTGGAGTTGAACCTGGAATTCTCATACTTTCTCCAGTTGTGACTGCAAGAATGGGGTTGCAACGGTCTGAAAAATGTCTCAAATGGCTTGAGAGATGGGAAAGAAGGAGGAATTAGTGCTAGAAAAGCGGGCTTATTGTAGGGTCTGTAGGGACTGAGCATGAAGAAATCAACACTGCAGGTCAGACTAAATAGGAGAGTGACCTTTGACCGTCGCATTGAGGTCCCTTCCCCAAGGTTTTTTTTTAAAATAAAAAAGGAAGAAAAAAATACGTTTGCAGATTGGCTAATTGAGCTAGAAAACCGCGGCTTCGGCATGTCCACGGATGTCTTCCTTAAATCAGTGAAAAAGTTCCTATACAAGGAAGTAAGCCATTTAACAACCGCTCGCGTTCCCCACCATACCCGAGTCGTTTGTTATGTTTTTTTTTTCCCGATACTAGGTTATATATTTTTGGAATCGATTGCCAGACTACTTAGCAAGTGCAAGAGAAGATTATACTTCACTTGCCTGTCGAAATTTATGTACAATTACGTTGTTATTGTTGTGTCCGGATACTGGGCAACATAGGAGCTCTGGAAAAATATTAATTTCGCGATGGAAACAAAGGCAAAAAAGTTAAACTGTCTTTTGTCATATTGAGGATAAAATAGATTTTCTTTGGGCCAAATTTCAGAGCTCTTGCGACTAACAAAGGAAAGTTATTGCAATGTTAAACTGAAGTGTCCGGATACTGGGCAACATACTGTACAGGAAACTATTTTAATCCCTCCAAGTATCAGGTATCAAGAGGTTCTACTTTTTTTTGCCTTGTTGAATCAAATACTTCTGTCATACGGTTGAAGGACATTTGAAACTCAGCGTGATTAGAAGATTCAGAAGCTCATCAACGAGAAAAAAATGTAGAAAAACAAAAACAAAAATCTAACAAAAATCGTGCAGGAATCTTTAGTAAAACGCAAAGATGTAAATAGTTTTTGGAGTACAATATATGCCCAACAGATGAAAAAGGCACTCACAATCCATACAAACACTTTCATGACAGTTTTGTTCTGTTGCATGTTTCTCATTCTTGTACATAATGTACAAAACCGCACTGAAATAATATACAAGCAATATCTAAAAACTTGCCATTTCTTTTTTTCCGCTTTAATTCATCACTGGTTGCAAGTGATGAAATTACAATAAATTATTTAAAATGAAGAATTATCAATACTTCCAAGTTTTTAAGTTTGTGACTATTGGTAGTGCAGCTGAACAATTACCTCTAAAGAAATTTTCATTCTGATAGGGTTTTTACTGAGTTTTTTGGTACAGCATGTCTGAATTTTCGGGTTGCTGTCCCCTTAGGGCTACTGATCATGATACGTGACTACATTTTTCACAGTCTTTAACGCACAATCATTAATCCCATAACCGTGACAATGTTGGTCTCTAGCTTACGATTCTCAAGCCCATTGCGCAACGAAAAATGGTTTTAGTTTGTTGTTTTAATTGTTAACCATGCCTGTGTTGAAGAAACAGATGTTAACCAAAAAGCAATTTGTGAGAAAGCACTTTAATATTTACTAATGAGATAGAATAGAACATCTACTTGATGCAACTCATGTTGGAGTGAGCCTTCTCCTTCTAGTTAAAAAAGGTCGCACAACTATTTAATTTTAGAAGGGAGGACTTTGGCGCGCAATTTCGGTTGATATGTATATTTTATTTATTTTATTTCCTACATCCTTTCAGCCGGAAAGTGTAAGTTGTATGGACTTACAAGAACTTTGATGGATGACTCTAAAACAAATACAAATGATTTCAATATTGACTTGATTTAAAATTGATAAATTATAAAGTAAATTCAAGTCACGTTTTAAGCCTGGTTATTAATAAACGTCCTTTTTTAAAAGTAGCTTTATATGAGAGAGTTTTGAATAAGAGAAAATAAATCGCGTAGTGACGGATACATTTCATGTGGCATTTTTGCCAGTTTGATACTCGCTCACTAAAAATGGTGCAACGGTCCGACCTCGTCCAATAGATTACATTTCCTCACATTACACAGGGGAAATTTCCCAATCAAGACCAAAAAATCAATGAGATTGGACCGAAATGTTGCCTTTAGCGAGCGTCATGATTATGTATACCTGATAGGTTTTACTGCAGTCACACCTTTAAATCTTATTTGTGGCATTACTTTGGTGAGTTCGTCATTACATAAGAGCATTCGGAACTTTTTCCCGCTTTCCGATCGATATTATAGTAGGATTCTTATCTTGAACTCCTTCAGAGCATTTTAGTATTGCAGACATAACAGGGTCCTCAATAGATTTTCGGGATTTACGAGATTTACCTTATTTGTAGGCCAGGATTAGGGTTCATGTTTGAAGGGGAGTTTCTGCGATCTTGGTGGGATGTCGAAAATAACTATGATCGGGATTACGGGATTGGGCAAAACTTTTGGTCGGGAGCAGATGAGGGGATGTTCTATTGGAGACCCTGATCTAACAACACAGAGAATTCCACCAAGAATTGAGATTGCTCAGGTAAAGAAAATTCAATTTCTGTAAAAAGTTTCGCACTTTGTTAAGGAAATACTATTAGCGACATGAACTCTAGACTTACTAGCAAGGCAAGAGGGAAATTATATTTAGCGTGAGCGCAAATTCAATTTCCAAGTGTACTTCGATTATTTTCAACTATATTATTTCAACAAACAAGCTTAAAGACATTTTAATTAGTTTTTTTGGCTAAGGGTTAAGGCAGTTTCTCGACCATAAACCTCTGGTGTTGTTTAACTCGAACAAAAGAATATTCAACATTTATTAAAATATAGTTTTTATAGAATAATCGAGTTTTGGGGAGTGACTGTTCTTTTTTACGCTCGGTTTAATATTGTGAGTTTTTATAGTTTTATCATACCTTATTGTGAAAGGTTATTGTACCGGCATGGGCATAAGCAAGGCCTCCTAAGTTTCTGCTACTTCGCGTGTCTTTAATTCTATTACGCTATCAAATTACGGAGGCTTAATGAACATTGTCTGCATACACCTGCTTTCTTTAATGATATATGCAAGTCTGGATATTTGAAAAGCCTGTTTCCTTTGATAACAGTGCACGAACCCAAGTTTGAAAAATTATAATTACGTCGTCGTGAGAAGTAGTGGAAGAAGTGGCCTTGCTACCGACTGAAACGATGGTCTTCGCTTTTTCGTCTTTAAAATGATTAATAATAGGGTTCGTCCAATCTTAATTAAGTGTACAATAGTTGCTTCAGGTCACACATACCTTCGGCTGTTAAAAACTCCCTATGAAACCCTCAGCCCTTAATTCAGGGCTAAATATGATTTGTATTACTTGGAATTATCCTCGTGTACCGAGCACAATGTAGAAAAAGAAACTATTTAATAAGAGCTGTCATCGAATTTCCCTTACGTGCGAGAGTAGGTAGAATTATAATAGTAATACGTGATACAATTGGACGTTGCGAAAGATACATAATATTCATCATTCGGGGAGTATAAAAGTAATTAAAATAAAAAAAATATTGACATTTTGGTAACTACAAAATAACAAAGGGAGTATAATATCAGAAATAGTTTTTTTTTTATAGAATTAGTTCGCACTGAAATGAAGGCCTTAAAGTTCGTTTTACAAAATGCATGCAATTTAATTTCATTAATACTCCTTATTGGCTGGACAAGACAGGCGTTAGTAGCCCGAGAACAGATAATCATGGGTAAAGGAAAAAGATTAATATATTATATATTCTGTAAAATCAACAACATGAGAAGCTTAAAAAAACATTTATTTTATGTAATATTTCAATTACTGAACATTTTCCACCGACTGGAATTAATCATGTCCGAATTCTAAAAGGGAGACGCGGTTCAAAGAGTTTTTTTGTATGTATGGACAACGTGACTCGAGCGCTTCAATGGTGCGTTATAACTGTGACGTATATTTTAGCTTAATATTCAAAAAAGTTTTGTTCTCGCTCATTGCTTTCTTATAATTCAGGGCGTCACACAGATAATAGATTTGAAATGCGTCAAGCCTCTATCCC